AATCACGGTAACCCTGATGGGGACAATGCTTAAATTCTCCAAAATGTGTACAGTAATCCTAAATATCAGTAAGCCTGGAATAGGAATATGTGGAAGCTGTTTTTGAGTTATTACAATCATGGCATTTAGAGAAAGTAATAACACTATAAGAAGCCTATATTGTGAAGCAGGCAATTGATAAGATAGCCTTTGTGATTTTACACTTGTATGAATGTTGTGTTTGTCAAAATTTGAAAATCAATAAATCAAGTATGAATAGAATCGCATGACACTGCATGTAATATTAGCATGATGTGTATGTTTTACCTTGCCATGTTCTAGAGCTGCATCTTTAGCTACTCTCACTTGAAATTTTTCTTCTTGTTGTTCCTGTAGTTCTGAAGACGAAAAAACTTTAGACAATTTTTGGTTACTCTGGGGGGAGCTCTTACCAAATCATAGCTGCTGTAATTTCATGGTGGTAACATGTTTGCTCTTGAATGGCTCTGGAAACTCGTCAAAATTTTTGTTTGCTACGAATTACTTAATGATTTTTTAGAATTAACTATGAGTTTGCTGTGTTGACTCTGAGTATGAGGTGTTGACTAAGATAGCTTCTCACTCACCCCTCCCCTCTCCCACCATCATCTGATGGTTTACAATAACTTCAATTATTGTTAATATTCATGCTCCATGTCCCAAGCATTAAACAACAATTCAAAAAAGTTTGTTTAAAAATTTTGTTTGAATGTAGACTGGAGTCATATATTTGAAGTGCTTTTTACTGAATATCAAATGCTTTATTTCTCTATCAGAAAGGTAATAATAATAGACATTTATCTTGAACGATGATTAATCAGTAGAATAATCTATGAAGTAAAAGTATGAGGTAGGCAAAGTGTGACAAGTACGTAAGAACCATGACATAGAAGACTACAAATTTAGAACATGGGAAGGTTAGGTTGGTCTAAATGAGGAGGATGCTCAAGACAGACAGGGAGAAGTAGAAGATGGGAGTGTCGTCATGGCGTGAAAGTCAGTAACCCTTCGTAAGGGGGAAAATGCTGACGTTAATAATGATCAAAGTTGATTTCATTTGAAATAATGACATCTTTTTCAATTGTAAAGGATGCAATTAAAATACCAGACCGGTAACATTCCATGCTAATGATAATGGCTTCTTCCTTATGTAGTGGCTTGTCTTACCACGAATTTGCCTACCACAGATCTTTGTCGTTGTCAGTCCTGCACTGTCATTGTCATTCTGACATTCTGTGTCTAAGTTAGTAATGACTTCTTAATTACTCAAATTATAATTAGTTCATTGTTATGTTGACAGTGTATTAATTTAGCATTATCATTTAAAATGTTAGCAAATGTTCTCTTTGATATAGATTGAATTATTAGATAGATTAATTATTTGAATTTTGTTATAATTTAATATTATAGTAAGACTAAAAATTAACTCTTTAGTATCGTCTTTGGAGGCGAGTTATTATTTTTTTATTAACATTAATCTATGGCTAGTCAATCACAATATAAATTCTCGACTGGATTGCAAATTAGCAGAAACTTTAGTACCTTGCTTAGGCTGGAGCCAGCATAGACAAGTGGTCTAGAGAAACACAATCACTCACCACCGATATATTTACACTGTACATACAGTAGCTTGTATGCATGGTATTAAATATAGTAAACTAAGGAAATCAAAACAAAGAATGTTTGTTTCAATAACAAATTATATTCATATTTCATTCAAACGCAAAGTCTGCTTGATTAAACTATACACAAGAATACAATAACAAACATTATTACACCATTTGTATATTGTAGGCCCTATATCAATCCTTTGTGTATATTTTATATTGTTATACACTATTTGTTTAGTGCTCTACAATACGCAATGTATCTTGGAATGTATATTTATTAACAAAGGAATTTTATAGCTTGTAACAATTTTCTAGTTCCACTTCTAACGATCATGCTGTACTTAACAGCTGTACAGCATGTATAAGAATTTAAGGTTGACTCTCTTTTATTAACTTTGTGAATTGTTCTCTGTTGTTTTGTAATATAGTATACTTGAGTTAATCCCTAAAATTGCAATCAATTCCAGCTGAATATTAGCCGATTTTTGTGGATTTTGTAGGAGGAAATCAGAGGGTTGTTAAAAATCAGGGGCTGATGGCGTCTAAACAAACATTTTTTTTTTTAATATCTTGCCTAAAGATTTTATATAATTTTCTTGTTTTTGTTCTTCATTTTGTTAATGATGCTTATTTGAAGAATACTAATGTACTTGGTGTGCATTCATCATAGAATATATACAGCACGGGGTGTTAGTGCAACTGATGTAATTGCTTCAACTCATGAAAGCCTTGCCCAAGTGTGATTCTATGTTTATTTTATATACACTCCTAGGCTTCGTGTTGTTTGAAACAGTTGGTACACAGTCCTTGCCTTGACTATAAAGAAATCAATTAAATTGTATAAAATGTTCTGATTTATATAGTGAGTGGTTGTCTTGATCTGAATGTATCTGAATTTTGTTTAACAGTTTGAAACGGAGTTAATGACTACATTACGTTTGTAAACATTGGTCATATCAATATTTTCTGTAGATAAATTGTCAGTTGAACAATAATGGGACAGTATTACAAGCTGAATATAATCTGCATGAGTGATATGGTATCTTCTGTGATAATATTTTGAGTTAGTATCAGCATACAAAGATTATTTTAATAGATTTAGTTTTATTATATTGGTGGTTGTATTAATGAAGTGAAAGCAATTTAAAAAAAAGTGTGTAGTACGTACTTAAATTGTAAACATTCACAAATGTAGTTGACAGATGTACCGCGCCGTAACCTATAGCTACAATACTGGATTTCAAGACAGCCACTCTCATTTCCATAAGCAATTATGATTCTCTCAAAAAATATATCTCTCGCTAATTCACAATGTTTTTACTACTATATGATCAATTTTCACCCATGAAGTCAATGCAGATAGGGATCGTGCAGCAAAACTTTTTAGTGAATTTAACACTTTTCCGAAGCTTGTTGAGATTGGTATGTGATCAGATTGCCATGTAATTAATATTATAAGAACTACGAACATCTTTGGCCTAGTTCAGACTAGGTGGATAAACCCACTTGCCAGTCTGAACTAGGTGGCTTATCTCAAGCCGGGCTGTGTTCCTATAGTAACTAGACCTGGCGAGCCAAAGTGTTTAACTTTTTAAGCCAGGTTTTAATTGCTGCTGGGGGTCTCGCATTGGCCTCAAGTAAAAAAATGACCAATCAGCATTGTGCGCTTTGAGGGAGCGTACATTTCGCGCACAATGTTTTGAAACTTGTTTCCTGGTTACGGTTCATGAACATGCAAATACTCCCTCCTGGCTATAATCCCGCTAGTCTGAACGCCCGGCAAAGTTTAGCCAGGCTTAATGTTGAGCCAGGCTTAACGTAAACCTGGCTTATCTCCAAGTCTGAACGTAGCCTTTGCTTTACAATGGTACCAAACACTTTATTCTAACTAATCACAATCTGTGACCTGTAACAGTAAAATGAAAATGACTCACTTTTGAAGATTTATGCAATTTTGTACAACGAAGCTGAGATAATCGCGATTTTGTAAAAGTACATCATATACCACTATGCTCAATGTAAACAAATAGTGAAATACTTACACGGTCCAGACTGAATATAGTGTTCAAATTGTTGTAATTACACCATCTATCAGATTCTGTAAAAAAAACCTGGAGGTCAAGCGTTGCGTTACCATCCACGGAGACCTACAGTACGTGTTTCGCGAAAGAAAGCAAATTTAAAACAAGGTCTCCCAGAAGTGGCTTTTAATAATAATAATAATTATTATTATTTCCAACTTGAGACCCCTGAAATACATCTATGTATATCCATGTTTTGATATGTGTTGACCATTGTTATACTTTACATGGTCAGCAAATTAGATATAGTGTACATCAAGACCTGCAGTATTCACCAGGAATACTGATGATTAAATGTACTTACTGTCTTCATTGATCAATAAGTGCTTGTATCCTCATTCAGATTAAGCACTGAGCGTTAACGCTATGTTCACACACAATGGTTAGCCTATCTAGATCCTGGTAACAGTTAGCGCTAACCGATTGGGCTTTCTTACTTTGGTGCTAACGGTTAGCTCTGGATCCGTATGTTAGAGCTCTAGTGTGAAACAAACCCAAAGATGTATAGGCCTAATGGTACTCTAAATATATCATTATCAGGGATTTGTATTGTCGACTTCCATATGGTCAGCAAATGCATCTAGATATACAGTAGTCACATGCATATTATGTTGACTGTATTGTATTATTGTACATTGAATGCTTATTCCCATTAAAGACATCTTGAACATTAAATAATGGAGCTATAAGAGATGTACAGAGAGATTTAAGTCACTTTAATGCCAAGCCACTGGTTGAAATCTAAGATAGTGTTATAATGCTTAATACAAGTGACTTGAATATTACAGTTCAATGCACACACCATGCTAGCCAGCAGCTTAATTGACTTGCCAAACTTTGACCTCATTAAAGTTTGTACTTAATGAAAAATACAGCAAAACTATTCCCATTGTAAAAAGGTTCTGTAGTATATTGACATAAAATATTACCAGAAAAGAACAGATAATATGGTGTATTCAAAGCTCTAAATATTAATCTAAACATAACATACACCTTTAAAATAACCAAATTATCAGTACATCACATACATACATACTGTACGTACATTTTTTATGTCAAATATTTTTTTTAGAGAAAAACAATAATAATGTTGTTTATAAATAGTCCGTATATCCTTTTGGCTAAATTATGTTTACAGATTCTGTTGACTTAATCTCCTTTCTACTCAATATTCTGTTTCCATGCCAATGGGAATGTGACCTACTTTGTGAATTATGAACATTTGAATGTTTTTTTAGAAATACAGTAATTATGTGCACATAAAAATTGATTTATTTTGTTTTCTTTGCAGAATCCAAAAGGAACTTGCAGAAATCACACTTGATCCTCCACCTAACTGCAGGTAAGAAAAGATAAACATTTGTTTGTGAATATTTTCTGGTTATTATTTAAAATATGAATGTTTTAGCTATGGATTTCTAAGGATGTGTTTTCCTTCTTCCAAGTAATATTGTCTCCTTTGATTATTGTATTAGAAAAACAATTTCTGTATTATGTCTGTATACTTGACAAAATAACCTTTAGCATGTTTATGCTAAAACAATTCTATTACCTGATTTACGCAACAAAATGTCACATGAGGCAAAATGTCACATGGGACAAAATGTCATGGACGAAATGTCACATGGGATAAAATGTCACATGAGACCAAATGTCACACAAGGAGCATGCTAAGGAATATTTAGTATCCTCGGCTCCATTGCATCCATGTACCGCATGTAATACCCATGTAAGAAATGTAGACTTTGCAGAGGCCTGTAATGCGCCCAAGATATTTAAAATGGATCTGTTCGCATGCTCAGAGAGTGCGACTACATTTGTATTCACTACCGTGGCCTTTTCCACTGCCTAAGTAAGTATCTATTGTACCTAATAGCAAAATTTGAATTTGCTTATGTTAAGACTACAGATGCAATGTGTCTGTACTTCTGCGTAACATTTGTCTAGTGTGAATATGGTATTAAATTTTATTCATCCATAAGTCTTCTTGTTGAAATGGTAAAATGCATTATAGGTCTATGAAAACTTGCAGAACTTTAAATGATAATGGAGAAAATAAGCGTAAAAGGTAGGTAGGAGGCAGTGGTACAAGTGCTTAAGGCGCCTGCCTTCCAATTCTAGGATCTTGGGTTCAATCCTTGTGGTATGAACTTTGTCAAGGAGAATTAACACTTAAAATACATTGGTTGCAGAGCATTGAGGAACAAGTAAGCACCCCTGGTGAAAGTGTAACCTTGCTTTAAGATAGAAAAATATTTTTGTATAATGACAGTGTTTATAAAGTATACTAATGGACAGCCGATTACTCTCACCATGACAGACATACCTGGATCAGTATACATCCTACCCTTTGCCCTTTCAGCGCTAACCAAGGATATTAACACTGTTTGTCTAACACTTGCTAATCACCCAGTGCCAATTGCTAATTTTCTGTGCAGTTACACTACACAAATTCATGCAAGATATTATGTGGTATTTGATGAATATATTAAGATATAATTTAGAAGAATAAATAGCAGTGATAGATAAATTCTGGACAATGTTTCTATTTAATTTATCAGTCAGTATTATGTAGGTGTTTATTATCAAATTTCTTGTGGCTTGTAGACAAACTTTATGAAAGAATGGAGAAAAAAACCATAGAAAACCCATTTATTGTTATTGTGATAAAGTCCATGATCAGGAATAAATGTACATATGATTACAATTTACTTGTGTTTACATTTCACAAATGATAGGGAAATAATATTCATAAATATTTATTATTAAAAAATGTAAATGCTACATTTTTAAAGATATTTAATTATCAAGTTTGTGAAATGGTAGTTATGTCCCTACCATTGTATGGTAGTGTACAGTAAGTAGTGTTTGTATACTTGTGTACAAAGTGTATAGACTAAACCCAACCTTGAACCTGTCACTAAACACTCAGCTGGTCACTTAAGACCGTTCACTTAGCCCTAAGCATGGGACAAATCAACTCAATGCTTTAGAGAACGCATTCTTGTAAACGGTGATTCCTTGTAAACAAAGAAACATGTAGAAACACCTAGTGAATAAAATGCCCTGATTTTATCCTTTATAATAATCCTATAAAAAGTGCAATATATTTTTTTAGTTTGAAGGATTCTCCCAAACTGTCATTCGTACATTCTTAATACTATGGTTGTAGATACTTGGCTTGAACTTTACCTGTTACCTGGAAGTAGCTCCCTCAACTTGCACATTTGCTGTTACAGTACGCCAGTAGTCTCGGTCCCCTGCTCCTTTTGCACATTCAACATATTTATGTTTTGTCCATTCCTGTATATTCCTTATCCATGTTTTTCTAGGCCTTCCTTTAGTTCTAACTCCTTCCACTTTTCCTTCTATGAGAAACTTGCACTAAACAATGTTAATTAGCTTCTGCTGTAGGCCTACATAACTGTCAGAACTACTTAATTAGTGGCAAGATAGACAAGTGATTACTACAGGTATTATCTATTTGTAAAAATAAATCAGTGAATATTGATAGTGATACTGTACTGATTATGAGTAATTGATGCTAGCATAGTAGCAATTTGTTTTGTATCTGCGCAAAATGAAAGTTGAATCAATTTTATTATACAAAATGAATATAAAAACAAAAGATTACTCAAAATATGCTGTGGATTCTTTAGGTAACATAATCATGCTGACAAGTTAATTTGCTCGAGTAGTTATGGCAGGGTTGCGGCAAACTTTAGATATTGGCACTGGTTTGAGCAGCATGTTTGCCCGTTGTTTCAAGAAAAAAAATCATACAATGAGGATGTCATCTCATGAACATGTACAGTACCCCTCAACGTTTTACCTACCATATTTCTTTGGATACTCTAATTTAAATGATGAAAAAAAGTGATCATCTTCTTGTCTTGCTAATGGTTCATCCATGTTTTCATGGTTAACATGAAAACATGTTATCAAAATAAGTCTACATGTTTATACTGTGCTATCTTTAATAAAAAAAAAAAATGGATAACTCCGAAAGAAATGAACTGCAATTGTAGCCACTTGTTATGTGATGGATTAAATTGTGTGTTAACAATGCACACGTAGCAACCCTGGATGAGAATTGCTTAGAATGCTCTGCAAGGATAGTGATAATCCTTTACTATAATAACCAACAGTTGTGTGTCATGTCAAAACATACTCAAATTCAGTCAGTCATGAATAATTAAATTAAGCTGTGAATGCTTTTTTATTCAGTGAGTGATTTCTTGCATGATTTTCTGAATATGAAGATATTGATTGAAGGAGGATAATGATCAAAGTGCTAATAGCATTAGCATTCAATATAGTTGATTTTTCAAGTTTAATATTGCACTTTAATATTAATCTTCACATTATTAATGATAATAATTAATGATTAATTTAATTTATTTTTTATAAATCCTAATAGTCACATGGGACAATAGTGATCAAAATGCTAACAGCATTAGCACTAAATATCATTGATATTTTAAGTTTAATATTGCACTTTAATATTATTCACTTTATTAATGATAATTTAATTAATGATTAATTTAATTTATTTTTTAATCTTAATTGTCGCAGAGCACAATGGGTTACCAAAGCTCACATAAGGCTCTGTAGACACAATGTAGTTTTTAATGTAAAAATACCTTGATGTACCTCCCCTTCTCCTTGGACCACAAATTTCAACCACTCAGTTGGAAGCACTGTTATTGAGCTGTATTTGGCAAAACTTTGTTATTAGAATATAAATGTTTTTTTATTCTTTAAAGCTTAGTGACTGTCTTGTTTAATTCATTCATTTATTCATGCATTTTTGGGCATTTTGCATTATACAAGTCTAACATCATTATTATTATTATTATTATTATTATTATTATTATTATTATTGTTATTATTATTATTATTGAATGTAGTCTGCTAAGTATTTTAAATATGGATATATACAGTAAATTATATAGGATTTCATAAGCAAATATTGATATTATTATGAAGTTCAAATTCATTACAATAAAATGCATTGATTTTTACATCATGTTTTGTGAGAAATTGATGCTTCCAAGTTGAATCGGCATTAATTACAAACTAAGATGCTAATGTAGTCAGCTAGTATATAAGCCTCTCCTTATCTAGTTTTAACATTGCGATTCTCACCATTGCGATCACCACCACTGGCATCATTGCCATCACCACCAAATTATCACAACTCTGACCATCGTCATCGTCTACCTAGTGTCTATAAACTAGTGAGATTTAACAGCTAATATACAGCTCCTAGTCATGAACAGTAATGCATATATTCTGTGACCTGTGAACTTGTAAGATCTTATGAGCAATTGGAATTACTGTACATTAATGGACTGAATATTGAAATCCAATTTCATTATTTATAAATGACAATTTTTTACCTTAATACTAATACATTTATTATAGTTATTAGATAATATTAATATTGTTTTGAATTTGTATAATTTTCAAGACTATTTGTAATTGTTTTAATATAAGTATGTTAATTTAGATGTATGTTTATTATAAATTGTTAATTTTAGTTATTTTGATTAAATTATTTGAAATATTTAATAAACAAAAAAGTATAAAGAATACGGAACATTTAGAAAAAAACAAAAAACAGATAAGATTTAGTGAAAAGCATTTTAAATTTGGAGCTCCTAAAATACCGGTACAATATATCTTTAAATTTAGATATGAAAATATGTATGGCCATTTTTATTTTAATATTGATAAAGAAATAATAATGATAATTAATATATAAATAAATAGAATTGTTGCTATATTTAATTTCTGTACAAATATAAATACAAGATGATAATAAAAATGAAAAAAGTAGTTTTTGCATCTTTGTTTTGAACATTAACAGACCAATAAGTGGTTCACATATCAATATATACTAGAAAAGAATCTTTAAATCTCGTACTAACAACCATGGTGATTAAATACATTGAAATTACTGTGAGACAGATAATCGTGCTTAGAATCCATGCTGGAAACTAACTGTAGTTCTGATTCACGGAAGGCTTCAACGTGACTAGATCTATTGGCTCATAGCGGTTAAAAGCATTTAGAGTTCAAATACACGAATGAGCAATTTTAATGTTTATAAGAGAGTGTGATATAGGACTTGACCGGCACATCGCCTCCTGATATTCCAATTCTCAATCTCTTTTACCCGAATAGTTTTCTGTGATGAATCCTGGAATTTGAGGTAGGGAAAAGGGAGGGACTTTCACAGATGAAGGAGCTAGACCATTTTAACCTCACCATGGTTGGGGCTGAAGTAAGAAAATTTATGGTTATGGCCCTCCCTCTCCCACCACTGGTTGTTGCAGC